TTTCCACCCAAGGCAAATTGGAGTAAAATAATTTTGGGGGCAGACAGAACAGGACACAAAGATTCATAAACGCCTGAGGAGAAGTTCCAGAGGTATTCAGAAATACCTAGGTTTGAGAAGCAAAACGAATAAGCTCTAACACTATCTGAAATGAGTGTTTCAGCCCTAAAATATGCCTGAGTCCCCAGAGGACTTCTAATCTGCTACCAATGCTCCAACTATGCCTAAGTCATCTGTACAGCTCTGAATCCAGCACAAAAAGATAACCAAGGGAGAGGATTACATCTCTCAGGTCTTACACATTCAATGAGAAAAAAATAATATATATATATAAAAAAGCAGCAGTAGGATCAGTATTCAGCACTGCTTCTCACTCAGAGGAGTCCCCTTCTTACCAGGCCACAAACTTAGGTTCCTTTTCACTTATTTTCGCCATCTGGATCCAACAGTCCTGAATTACCTTCCACACAAGAGTTTCCAAAAGTATTGCAAAGGTGCTTCACCTGGGATATGCCCCAGTCTGGCAGGTAGTGTGGTTTGTGGAGTAGTGTGGCAACCTACTCTAGATGCTCTATGGATGCTATGTGAATGTCCTTATCTTGTTTCCTTGAACTCTGCTGGGTTGATATGGATGTCAGGTACTAAAGGAGACACCCTACTGGGCCAACCTGCTTCCCTCCTGTAACTGCATTGCCTTCCCACGTCTGGCCCCTATCACAAGATTTAGGGTCCTTATTATTATTTGCATTTGGCTTCCAAAATTTACAACACACTTAAGCCCTGCATATCTCAGCCAACTTCTTTTTAGCTACTCACATAGATTAAATACTTAATTTTTACTGATAGCATGCTTTCCCTCTCCTCCCTCCCCCTATTATTTTTATAACTGGTCAGAACTGGCTCCTTGCAAGCTGTGTTTGGCTGTATTTTCACACGCCCGTTGAGTAACCTGGTCTAGTGCAAGGTGCCTCTGCCTGTGGCAGGAGGGCTGGAACTAGATGATCTTTAAGGTCCCTTCCAACACAAACCATTCTATGATTCTATGATGACTCTTTGTCCAGCTAGGTCTCAGGAATGTTCTTGCAAAAGAGTTTCTTCACAGCAACATCCTGCTTCCTTTCCAACCACCAAATTTATTTCCTTAAAGCAATATCTTTCAGTCTTAGGTGAAATGCAGATTTCTTACCTAGTGATGTCTAATATCCATCAGTAGGAATAAATATTTATCCAGAAATCAATCTGTCACCACATTATTCCCAGAGGGACAGCATACAAATTTAGAATTGCCATGTACGTCCTTCCAAATGCTTTAATGTAAATGAGGAAGTGTATTAAAGAGCAGAGGGGCTACCTTTAAAATCTCCACTCCAGACAAGTACAGCATCCTCCACAGTTTAGGACATGGGATTTCAAATATTTTACCCCCTATATGTACACCAGTATATTTCATATGAGGGATGTATTCCATATGCTTTGTCTGCACCTCAGAGGCAACTTTTAGAATTCTTTGGTAAGTGCAAAAGGGGAAGAACAGCAACATTAGCCGAGAAAACTAAGTAGGTATCCAGCAGCAGTTGTCAATGGCCCAACAAGCACTGGAACTACATAATGAAGGCATACCCCACAAGTTTTGCCCAAGAATAATTTGAACTGCTCTATATCTGTGCTGTTCTGGGTTAATCTGCAGTACTGTAACCAGAAGCTGATGCAGTTGAAAACTAACCTGGCAAAAAGTGATGCCTGTTTGGCATCCCAGACATTTCCACAAGCGGTTAGTGCCTGACCAACACAGAGGTCAGGCATATACAGCCAGAGTGGGGTGGGAGAATGGGTCTGGGGCAGTCTGGATTTAGATTGGCTTAGGCTGCCATGAAGCTGCACTGTCAGCTGAAAGAAAAGGTCCTACTCTCTATTTTGCTACCTGATTTTACCGTCCCACCCTTGCCTGGTTTTATTTGGGTAAAGGATCAGCCAGTTTTGTTCACTTCCAACCTCCTGTCTCAGCCATGTAATGAGACTGGTAATCCCTAATGAAACACAGGAATAGCCCAAGCTTTGGGCTATCACTTTACCATGACTCTGTAAACCGATTTGTCTTTCTGCATACTCTAGCATGTTCACATGCAAATGCACAGGAGGAGTAGGTGAGTACAAAGTGTCACAAGCAGGAGTTAACTAGATTGAAAACCAGGCAGCCTTATCCTTTAGGTCTGCAAATGAGTTCAAGAAACTTATGTGCAGACATAATGCTACAAAGTATAGGAGCTCCAGATGCTTAAGGAAAATATAGCCGGGGAATATCGGAAAACAGAAATGTCTGTTATGTGCCTGCCTTCCACAGATTTTCAATAAAGCTTAAGAGCTTAACATCTTTTATGCTTTTGAAACCATTCTTAATAAAATAACATTAGACCTTTCACAAATCTGTCACTTCCTGGGCCACCTTGACCTAGATCAATACACTCCTGTTAACTGTTATTATGCACTGTTCACAGGTCCTCCATCAGTACCCTGTGGAAATGGCAGTTTTCAATGTGGCAGACCTTTCTGAATTAATTTTCAAGTATGATTTTAAGAAATAATGTGTCAAATGTATTATAAAAATCCCTGTACTATATAACACCTATTTCATTTTCTTTATTCACTGCTTGTTTTCTTCAGTCGAAGAATTCTAGCTTGCTTTGCATGATTTAACAGAAATCTTTGGGGATATTCTTAAAAAAGAAATGTTCCAACATGGATATACATGTGCAACAGCTTCATCTTCTAACACTTGTACCATGAGCATTCTCACTGCGCGAAAGGGGTGTGTAATAATTTTAGCATCATTTAAATTCTTGATGTTGATGTGACACACCAGTTTCCAACCTTCATAATTTTCCATTAAACGCCCACAAAAACCCATGATTTAAACTATATACTCAAGTTCTGTGTTGTCTTTTCCAGCTTTCTTCCTCGTTTGCATTACCAAATCTATTTTTTCTTCCACATGTACAATGTACCCTGTAGTCCCCATCAGTTCAACTACATGTCATATAGCATCCATTGAATCACTTCTTACAAACAGTGTGTTGTGCTGCTTACAGTGAATCAAGAAATTGCACAAGTAATCTTCAGGGTTGTTAGATCGTCTCTCTTTGCAATCACTTATTAAATAAAAATTGATTTTCTCATATTCATGCAAGAAATCAGAACCTTCAGACAATGTCAATCTATCATGAAGTGTACGCGGTAGGAGTGGGCAGAACTGTATCAAAGTGTATGGTTTAGCAGACGAGGAATGAGGTTTAGTCATTTAACACAGGCAGTTAGTGAACTACCATCTTCTGCACGGCTTCTAGCTGCCACCCCACAATGGTCCTGGTCTATAGGTTCTATGTCATTCATGCTCACCCTATGCAAGATGTCTTCAATACCCTTAAGTATCTGAACGCACCAAAGTGGTAAGTTGAGGAAACTAAATCCCATTTAGAATGTTTACCTGTTATGCTAAGATTCGTCAAAACACAAAAAGATCCAATATTACCATTACCAGTATGAATCTGGTTTAACTCTTCTTGTTCCCTTTTTGTCAATCTCAGTTTAATAATGTACTAATTGTTAACATGTTAATTTCTTAGACCAGTTGCAATGCTATTTCGGTACTTGGAAAGGCCTACGTAAATGTAAATGGTGACTAAGGTGCTAAACAATAGTAATAAAATCTAGTATCAGCCTCTTCACATCCACTTTTTGATGGGCCTGCAATTTTCCCACACAAAGAACTGAATCATCCTTTATACATCTCAATTGCCTATTCCCTGGGCCTTCCATTTTTAAAAGTAGTTTTTTTGTTTCTGAGGAGATTGATGAGAATCCTACCACCATATAGAAATACAACGTTTACTGATGTACTTCAAAATCACAGGATTTGGAAAGAATTTCAAATTAAAGTATTTTTTTTTATCAGGACCAACTTAATAATTTAGGCATTCCTTAAAATGCAGCTTTTAAAGTTTTGCATACACTTGAGCATTTTTAGATGTCCACAATTTATTGGGTGGGTTCACTATGACATAGTAGTCGGTGAAATCACTAAGTTACAGTTGTGGTTTTGTTTACATTTCAGAATTCTGGTTTCAAAGCATAGAAAAAATAAAAACAACCCATGTAGGTTTTGGGTTTTTTGTTTGTTTGTTTGTGGGGTTTTTTTCTACTGAAAACAAACTTTATTCCACAAAATCATGAAACAGATGATTGGAAACTTGTTATTATCGCCTGGGGTAGAATCTGCTTTGGTTTACTTACTCAGAGTGACAGTACACACTTCAAATGGATCAGAATGTAGCTCATTTTACAGTGAACTAACTGGTTTTAAATGTAGATTAATCCATATCACAAAAAAAAAAAAAAAATTCCTAAGCATTAATCTGTAAAGCAGTTTTACCTCACTGAATCTAAATCTGTCGTGTCCCTAAGTTAGCATAGTAAGATGGGACTGAACCCTAGCAGCAACCTCCCAATGTGGATATGAGTTAGAAAAAGGAATCCTGAAAGAAAAGGTATCTCTAGAAATCTTACCTATCTAAAAAATTGAGTTTATTTACTTGCACAGGAATTGTGATATCTTTAACAGAGCCCATCCAGACATGGGTATTAATATTTTCTGTAAGTTTATAACGCACAATGAAACGTGAGGCTATTATAATTCCCCACTAAAATCTGAAAATATTTGTTCTGAAAGAGAAGAACAAAACCTATGTTTCCCTTTTTTCTTCCATGGAATTATTTGAGACATTAACAAATTATGATTTGAAATTAGACATTTTACTCCACTTTATTCTTGAAGTAAACTATGGTGTCTTTTCAAGCAGTGTGAATCACTGAACGTCAGTAGAACTATTCGGCATTCAGGACAGAGGAAGGCACCTAATCCCCTTAAGGTAATTCTTCAAGTTTCTGCCAGCTCCTTTCAACATGAAGCCTACAAATATCACAAAACCTTTGCTAGCACTTTGGATTTAGGACTTGAAGATCAGTTAGCTGCCACAAATACATGTATTTTGATAAGGATGATGGAGAATAGAATGGGTGGGATTCAGCACAGTGGTACCACAAAGGAGTGCACAGCTTTGAAAAGACTGTACTAGTTGAAGCGCAGTCTTTGCATAATATGCAGAAGAACTTGCATATTATGAAGCAATACCATGGCCCCACTCTATTTAGGTTCTTCAGCTTCATGAGGATTTTATTTCTATTTAGCTTTCTCAGTGCATGAAGGACTTCAGACCTGGGGCCATAAAGACCATCTCACCACTCGTAAGCTTGTCTTGAGCTACTATTCTTTTCTTATACAAAAATTAGAAACATGATTTTTAACCTCTCTGAGACGTAAGACATTCAACTCACATGCTAACTTGCTTGTGGCCAGCATGTCGAGGGAGTTCATCCTTCCCCTCTGCTCTGCCCTGGTGAGGCCACATCTGAAGTATTGTGTCCAGTTCTGGGCTCCCCAGTTCAAGAAGGACAGGGATCTGCTGAAGAGGGTCCAGCAAAGGGCTACTAAGATGATTAGGGGATTGGAGCATCTTTCTTAGGAGAAAAAGCTGAGGGACTTAGGTCTTTTTAGTCTGGAAAAGAGAAGACTGAGGGGGGATCTATCAACACTGATCAATATCTAAAGGGAGGGTGCCAGGAGGATGTGGCCAGATTCTTCTCAGTGGTGCCCAGTGACAGGACAAGAGAGAACGGGCACAAACTTGAACATAGGAAGTTCCATCTAAACATGAGGAGGAATTTCTTTCCTTTGAGGGTGGCAGAGCAGTGGCACAGGCTGCCCAGAGAGTTGGGGGAGTCTCCCACACTGGAGACATTCCAAATCCGCCTGGACGCTGTCCTGTGCAACCTGCTGTAGGTCGCCCTGCTCTGGCGGGGGGGTTGGACTAGATGATCTCCAGAGGTCCCTTCCAACCCTGACCAGTCTGTGATTCTGTGAATTTAACAGAAAGGAATTTAGTTCTGCTACTGCAGTGATGACCTATTTAGAAATTATGATAACTTTTGTTAATAATTAGAGCAATGGAAACTGTTCAGAGCATAAAAATCTCTTGAAAGCCGTGGAAATAAACAACGGGTTGAATCTAAGTCTTGGGGTACAAATCTACAAAGTGTACACTGAAGCACAGGGCTATGACATGTCAAGAATTGGTATTTCCTCTCATAATTACTGCTAGTACTACTGGGAAGAGTATCAAATTGATAAAAAAAAAAATATATTAGAAGGCTCAGTTGAAGCACCGGACCATGACTAGGGTTGATCCTGTAGATATGCAGTTACATTAGACTGAAATGTTAATTATGAGTAACCTAGTTCTGGTAGTTCACATGTATAGTCGCACATCCAAATACCATGACTTTTTCATCTTAACAATACCTGCAGAAGATATTCTGCAGAAGGTGTTCATGTTCTACCCTTTGTCAGCTTGGTATATAAATACAAAAGGTAGAACATATAAACATTTTAACATATGAAAGGTATTTCAGGCTAGCTTCCAGTTATGTGATAGTGGTCTCAGAAAACTTCATTCAAATAGCAATTTCAGGACCACCCTACTGAGACAGGAGTTAGCTCTAGAGGACTCTGTGATGCATAATGCTTGATGAAGCAATGCCTCAGAGCTCATGGAGCTCTAACTGGCTGACAGCAGGAGTTAAGAATACAGATGGTTCTTAGTGACAATAAGGATAGTGATTTTCTTAAACCAGGTTTCTAGAAATCCCAAAAGAAATTTGGAGTGAGTATGGCTGAGGATGATCTGCAACAGAATTGGGCTGAGTTAATGATCTATTTCACCACATAAGTGTATTTGTGAGAGGTGTTGCTAAGATCTCCCACAAAGCAGTGTCAGGCATGCCATCATGAAGAGGGCCACCCCAAAAAAGAGAAGACAGAGAAGACATAGGAACTCACAATTGCGCATGTATATGGACTCTGAAGCAAGGATGCGCTCCTGGTCCCATAGCTTAAATGTAGCCAAAGATTCCAATTCCCCCACAGTCATGGCTGTGAATGACAGAAAATTCACAATCATAACTTCCTGCTTGTTTCTGAAAGCTATTCTTTGGATCAGGATAAGAGGATACACCAGCTTCCTGAAAAATATCCTCCGTAATCTTGGTCTGTATGTAGCGTTCCTGTTACAGTCACGACAGTGAGGGAACTTGGTAGATGAACTGCTGACAAGTGAATTTAATGTCTGTTTCATGAATTGACCACTTCTGACAAAGTGGAAGGGGAAACTTAATTTGGCATGGCATGCATGCCAGCATCGTTCCACTGCTCCAATCTGGTGCTGCCTGAAAGCTTATTTTGGTGGGTATTGTGTCCTGGAATGACACAGAACTAGAACTGGCAAGATGTCAAAAAACTTCCAAAAATAGCTTAACCAAATAAAATCAGCTGACCTGTGGAGATACGGAATGCACATTTAGAAACACTCAGAGCTGGAATGTAGGTGAGGCTAAGTACAGGAACGCCAGGGTTATGTAAATATCTAACAACAACATGAATATCACCAATAAGGACATTTATAAATAACAGTATTTTTATTTTTGAGTTGCTCTGACTTCCTAAACCTCTTAAAATATTAACTCAGGACTCCCAAATTCACTATGGTAGGTAGCTAAGGGTTGTTAATCTTATTTTTACTGCTGGGGGAAACTGAGGCAGAGAGGTTCAGTGACTTACCCAAGGCCACAGAGGGAGTCACTGTCAGAGCCGGGATTAGAGCTCAGGAGTTTCTGGCTCCCAGTCCCAAGCTCAGACCACTAGACCATGGCCTCAGGACATTTCCAGCTGGTCTTCAGTCTAAAAAAAAGTAAATCCTCAAGTATGTTACAAATATGTAACATATATATATATATATTTCTTTTTACTTCGAATGTAATGGTATGAATGAGAACACATTGCTCATAAGTCAGTGATGAAAAGCAAACCAGTACATTTTATCTGAGTTACCTTTATCATACATATGTGTATGATAAAGCTCTGCGGAAAAATCTTGATTTAAATTGCAGCCAATACAAACAGCTATTGTATTTTTCAGGGTAAGGAACAAATTGCCTTTCCAACCCAGCCAGCATGTCATTTATATTAATGGCGAGGAATGCTAAGTTGCTCTGTGTGTAAGTAAACTCTATTAAGAAAGTCACGTCCCTTGGTGAAGCTAGATCCTTAGTAAATTTTACTAGCTAAGCACTGAGCTCCATGTCAGAGTAATTACACCTTTTATCCACTGTGAGCTCTGTCTTAGCTTCTTCATACTCCATAATTTCCCACTTCAGCTAATTTAGCAGTAAAATCGCAAAGGTTTTAAAAGGTTAGCTACCGAGGAACTGGCGCATGAATGTTCTGTTAAGCTCCATGTATTGAAATCACATCATGTAGAAGAAGGAATTAATTAAGTAACAATTAGGTAGTGATGGATCATTGACAACATATATACACTTTGGTGCTAAAATTAATCTCCCCTGTAAATCCAATACATTGTGTTTCTTCTCATCTATGCGCTGGCAAGTTTTATACTTGAAATAGAAAATGGACAGGCCCTTCAGCAATACGTTAAAAAAAAAGGATATCTTCTGGCACTACTGAAACTACATACTAGTTTAAAAAATCATATAGCTTCGGGTTTTTTTAAAGAATTGAAAGAGTAATGAGAGTAGCACAAGGAGAAGACATTTTTAAGGCAGGTGATTTTAAAGTGACTGTAAGGACGTCTGTTATATGAAAGTACTTAGTGTGTTGAAAGTGCTAAAAATTGTGTAGTATTCTCTTGCTATCTTCTTCTACAAGTTGCCATATTGTTTCCTTGTATTGACAGTCAGCTGCTTAATACATAGATTGGCAGTTAGCCCGGTCAGTCCTCGATTCTAAAAGCCTCTTAGCAGATGAAAAATCTTTGGTTCATTCACACCTTGTAGAAAGGATGACAGGGCAGAAGTGACATCCAGATCCATTTAGAGTATACTTTGAGTCTGATTTTCCTTTGCCTTGCACCTTGTGTTGTCATTTATAGCTGTGCAAAGCGAGCACAAAATGGATATAAAACACCGCTACCCATGTGAGGAGAGAATTCTGATTTGGTTGCATTATTTCCAGAGGTGATCACAAAAAGTGCCAGGCAGTGAAAAAATCTGGCTCTGCATGGAAAGTCTAAACAATTTTGACACAAAGCATAAAGTAGCAGAAGCGCTTTCCAAACAATTTATAGAAATTGCACATTTGCTTTGGAGCAATGGGTATTTTCATTTGCTGTTTGCTTGGTATTTTCATAGAAAAAATAATAAATGTTGAACTCATCTACAGAAAACGAATCCTATTTCTTCCTTTTTTTGGGGGGTATAAACATATTTAACTGTGAGTCCTAAAGTACATTCTCACACAAAAAGGAACTCAAGTCCTACATAAGATCTCCACTAGTTCTGCTGTTCCACGTGCTACTTCTAAACCCAGTGTTTAGAAAGTTACACTTCTACCCATCCTCCTGGAATCAGTGCCAAAATTGGCAGTATCACAGCAGCTGGTCTCAGTCCATCAGAGTTCAATACTGTTCTGGCTTTAGTACGGGTGGCAAATTATTGTCTCAGCATCTACCAAACAGTGATATCTCTGCTATATGATCTACCACCGCTACGATAATGCAAGACCTTCTGCCAAGTATCTTCAAGATACAAACTAATATTAGCAGGAAAGGCCTGCAAATATTAGGTTAACAAATGTGCGTTAACAAAATTGATAGTTAACAAATTAAGGACCTAATCTGGCTGTCGCTGGAGATGTGGTCAAGAATTATTTCTACTTAATAACAGACATTTAGTGTATAATAATTAATTCAATAAGTTTGGACCTTTATTTCCCCATACTACTTGGTGGCCATTTTTCTGGCCCTTCCCAGCCGGAAATTCTTCCCGTTACACTTAGATGCCATGATGGGCCTGGCAGCTCAGGTGTGTTGCTTAGGAGCAGAACTAGAAATTACTTGGCTGCATCAGCAGCTGTTGACCTAAGAGTACTGCCACAGTAAATAATGCCTTTTGGTGTTTCTGTTAGAAATTTTCTTTTCCTTTAATTGCAGTCATGAACTTCATAGTCCTCCGAAGACACAGTTCCCAAACCTATTACCATTGTCCAAGGCTTACCCTTCAACCAAGTGGCTAAAGAACAAATTAACATTTTTTTTCTTCTTCCTATTTTAGTAATACTGTATTATAGATTGGGGGTTCTTGGGCTCTTTTTTTTGCCCCCTCCCCCCCATTTTTTTTTTCTTTTTTCCTCCTTCCCCTTCTGGATTCAGTGCTTCTTTAAGTATTTGAAGTTGCTAGTCTGGCTTGACTGAAAAGTACTGTGTGTTTGTTGTGTGTCTGCATGTGTGATACCAACTGTTGAAGACTGCTTGATGTTAGATGAGGGCTTCTGCTCAGAGCTGTTCTACATTTGGCTCTGGCAGAATCTCTCCTCACCAGTGACAATGATGTCTCTTTGTGGGGGAGAGTCTGTTTTATAGTATTCCACTTGCCATGTCCTTAATTTTACTGATGGTGCATGATTATGATTGCATTTACGTTAATCAAAATCATGAGTCATTCCATTCATGTCAACAGGATTAAAGAGCTACACAGACAAGTGAGAGTTCCGAATCAGACTTCTGGCATTTAATCTGAAAGGATATCTGAAAAACTTCATTAAAGATAGATACTGAAGGATAGATCCTCTGCTTACTTTGCATTACTCAGTCATGCCATTAGCATAAAACATCAAATAAAGAACTATAATGACAGCTGGCAATGTGTCACAGTACAGGGGTTTTCCGTTTACCTCGGGTACAGAAAATACCCCTGAATTAACGAGATTTAAGATAATATTTCAACTTTGACAAAGTTATTGTATTAGGTCTCCTTGTCCTTGGAAGTTGACATTAATGCTTCAAAAACTTATTTCCTTCCTTTCTTTTTTTATGTCACTCTTACATTACGTGAATGCAAAAGATCTAAAAGCGAACAATATTTAAGTAAGACCTCAGGGACTGAGTTAAGTTCAATAGCCCTGTCCATAATGAATATTATGTCTGGTAAATACAGGAGCATCAAAACACTGATCACAATTCATAAAGTTTGCTTTGTAAGTATCTCATAAAACCCTATAAAATCTTCCTTCTTTTTTAAAAAGTGAAAAACATGTTAATTTTCCAAAATATAGTCATTCTGAAACAATAAAAGGTTTTGTACTGGTGTATGTCTCCTGCTCAGACAGAGAAATTGTACAGGGGATGATGGGCCTTAATTTAATCCTCACTGATAAGTACTTTTAAGACTAAATATTCTTGAAATTGCACTTACTTAAATTACACTCAAGCTCCGTGTAAATCTAAAAAAAAAGATTATAGGGGGGAAAAATCATTTCAAGAGGTCTAGCAAGCTATCAGAATATTGCTCTATTATATCTCTTCAGATTTTTTCCATTTTTGAAGTCAGAGAATTATTGGCATTTGAGAACATTTTCTAGAAATCTGTTTGATCTATTACAGGCCCTACAAACTATTACTGTCGTATATACTCTCAGCTTCACCACAAGCACATGCCCCAAGACACCAAATCAGAGTTGAGGGTTTTATCAACAAACCGTGATCAAAAGAAAGCTGAAAGGAGGGATCTTCTAGTGTGTTTTATATAGGTCCCACTGATAGTCTCATTGAAAACTAAAGATCTATCTGTGCATCTTGCTTTGCCAGTACAGTGAGAATAGCAAAAATATTTTCTCCCCAGTTCCCAGTGAAAGATTTCTTTTCGTCCTGCTAGACCATGTGTTCAGTTTTATACCCTACACTTCCTCAGCATAAGAAAATTCGTGTACAGTGAAGCAATCAGATACTGTCTTCAGGCTGAATACAAATGTTAGTTAAACCACTGGTGCCTTTTAAGAAAACCTTGATATGTTTTCCACTCTTAGAAACTGTGGGAATTAAACATTTTTCTTGTCTTTGTGATAACATTGCTGTGTATATCAGTAAGCACACTTGGGCACATAGCTTAATTGTAAGGCAACAGACTTTACATATCTGTGCTGAAAAACAATTCGAAATCTCACCCTTTGTTTTTCAATAAACTAAAGTGAATGAGAAACTGAAGAAATATAGAACAGAGAAGTGACCTACCGTGGTTGTCTTTATCCGTCCTCCTGGTTGTGTACAGGTCCAGCCTGATTTATTGATTAGCAAATCACAGCCTTCTCCTTCTAAACATGGAAGCATTTCACACCACTGTTTTGTTTTGATAATTCGTGCTATGAAACAGAAAAGAAAAGAAAAAAAAACAACCAAAACCATTGGCAGGAGAATTCACATTTCACTTATCTCTAAACACTTTCTCATTTGAGTTGTCTATTTTCATCATCTGATAATGCAGCCATAGGTTATGATGTAGACAGCCGTAGGCAATTTACAAAATTATTTACAACACCTGCTGTGCCAACAAATTTTGTAATAAAAATAGAACTTAAAAAACAACAATAAACAAAAGACAGCTCTGTTGTCAATTGAAAGAACATAAAAGTTAATTTTCCAATTCCACGCTCCTTACAGTCAAGGAAATATTTTTTGGGGGCCAACAACTCAAGACTTACTATCCTAACGAATCGTTATGGTAGCCGAAAAGTGACCTACGACTGGGATCCATTGTGTTAGACTCTCTACAAACCTGAGCAGACACTCCTTATCCTGAAGTGCTTACAGTGTAAATAGATGAGAGACACAGTGGGGAGAGAAAAGCTATAATAAAAAGGTACAGGGATCAACATAATGACAGCAATTGTGAAACTCTGTGATACCTGTAATGGTAGGGGCATAGTCAGGGGCAGGAACCAGCAACATAAGAAGGACAGGTGTTGAATGAAGTAAAGGTTGGGAAATCATGGGGAAAGAGACAAAAAGCAGAGGGAAAAGACTAGAACAGACGCCCTATTACTTTATTACTACAAGGGAAAGGAAGCCTAGTCAGGAAGGTCCTTAACTGTCTGAAAGGTGGTGTGGTGTGTGCTTTGTGGCTCCTCTTAATGCTAGCATCTCTGGTAAGCTGGTTCTGCAAAATGTCCTCAAGGTCACACACAGCAAGTAGTCTTCGAAAAACAGAGCTCTGACTGCATTAAAGTAGATGCAGAGGAGCTGTAGGGAGAAATTTTTCTTCAAGGCAGGGAGAAAAGGGGCTTTAATTCCTGTAGACTTCTTTCTGGATTATAATACTACTTCTTTTGAGTTCACCTCCGTAGTATCAAGGTTCCTTCTCATAGACTATGAAGTAATATGACTAATATATAATATTCCATCATTCTTTCACTCCCCTCCGTAGGCAAAATTATAGGGTGGAGTGCTAGCTTGGGATACTTTTTAGAAAATACATATACAGAGATACACTCCCTTGCATGGTGCCATATACTCATGTGAAACAAGGGAAGGCCCCTCAAGTAATCTGTCTTTTGCTCAGCCTGTAAGGCTCGCAATCCACACAAAACGGTTCTCAGTTCCTTCAGAGGTCATCTCAGCAATCCTGGGCGAGACTACAAGAAAGCCTTAGCACCTCAATTTGTACGTTAAGTGCCCTAGGTTTCAAGGGCAGAACAAGTTCCACATATAGGGACACAGATCACGTCTTCTTCTGTGACACTAATACATGTGATATACCTGCAATGGTCATGAGCCCAACAAGAAGAGAACTACAGGAGAAATACTTAGCAAGAGAAGCATGCAAATTAATTTTGGGCCCAAAGAGCTTAATAGTGGGCATTTATACCGAGAGGCAGTTGCAGCTTTTTATGCTCACCTCAACGGGTGATTCAGCCTCCCTACGCCCCTGACTTCCTCTGTCTGCAACTACTTACGAATACGATTCCCAATGCCATTGGATCATGGCAAGAAATAGAAGTGTAATTTAAAGTCTTTCAATAAAATCCTTTCCAACATTTTGACATGAAACAACTTGTGTCCTCAGTCCCGGTACAATTGTTGGTAAGCTCTAGCAATATAAGGAACACTGATTCCTTTCAGTGGAAGCTCAATCTGAAATTCATATTAAGATTTTCATTATAAAAACCACTTTAGTTCCCAAACGTCTACATAAGAATTTGCACCGTTCATTAGGCAATATATATATCGCTGGAGGAATGATTCCTAAACAATTTTCATAGCTACAATTTTTTGAAGCAAATCCACTAAGTTTTTCTAGCACATAATACCCAGAAATCTGGATTGTGCTTGGGGTCCGTAGGTACTGCTCTACTGAGAATGGGATCGTATCAGTTTGCGAGGCCAACATCTCCTACATGACAGAGGATCGCCTCATCCTTTCTGAGTGAAAGCATGCATCCAGAGAATTACAGAATCACAGAATTGTCCAGGATGGAAGGGACCTTTAAGATCATCGAGTCCAACCATCAGAGCCTGCCATCCACTTGCAGGTTTTACAGAAAAAGCTCAGTAAAATGTTAGCACCAAACCTCACCTATTTGCATGTGTATATTTTGCAACTTACATATCTAAATGGCTATTTCTACCAATGTTTCGATAATATGAAGGATCACTGAAAGACTGAATAGTCAGTTAAACTCAAAAGTATGTATTAGATGGCCTCTGCTCTCTCAGGCGGGAGGTTTTTCTGGAAACATAATTTGAACTATTCTTTAAAAAAAATATTTCTCTCCTCTGTGAATTACTTGTAGTGTTGGCTTGGTTGCTATCTCAGAATGCAGCTATCGGTAATATCACAAATATATGGAGTCCTTGCCCTGGGTATTGGCTATACCCACACAAATTTGGAAAACACCAAGAGTGTTTTACAGAACATAAAGCCTAAAATACTTCTGTGTTAAGTATCTAGACTAGCTCATGCATTTAGGCCTTGAGAACCGGAATCAACTTCTTTTGCAGGGAAGAGCTACTCAGCTCACATGGTTTAAAGCGAATCAGTATCAAAGCACTTTATTAATTTACTAATGACACACCACCAGCAGCAGCGCAACACCAGTGCCAGTAAAACCAAGGGGGGGGGGGGCAGCGCGGCCCGGCCCGCCCGCAGCGCCCTCCCACCGACAGAGCCATTCCCCCATCACCCGCGGACTCTGCCCTGTTAACTGGCCGTGTTTTCCGGGCCCTGTGCCCCAGAGCCCGCCGGGCGGGAACCCGCAGGCACGGTGTAAGCTGAAGGCCGCGCAGAGACAGTGCCCGGTTAAACACGCGCAGCCACGGCTGGAAAAGGGAGGCCGTGTCCGTGTCTGCGGGTTGTTTTTTGTTTGTTTGGTTGGTTGGTTGGTTGGTTTGGTTTGGTTTGGTTTGGTTGTTTTGTGTTTTGTTTGTTTTGGGGTTTTTTGGTTTGTTTTTCTTTCCTTTTTTTTGTTTAGTTTTTTTAATGTTTGTTTGTGGGGTGGTTTTTTTTTTTCATTTGTTTTGTTGTTGTTTTGGGGGTTTGGTTTTTTGCTTGTTTGTTTGCTTGTTTTTTTGTTTTCACTTTTCAGTTTCCTGTTACAGCAGAGTATCACAGTCTAAAGCTAAACATGCAACATAGGGAGCAAAGTATACAGCGATTTATTTTATCAGCATAATATCACCAGTTCCTATCGGTAATTGAAGCTGAGTTCCGCTAGTCACAGCAAAGGAATACGATGTATTTCCTGAGGCGGTATAGCTGCCTTTTTACTGTCTATATTCACCAGGGGTGAAACTCAGCCCTCCGCAGACGAGACAGCAAAAAGCCCATCAGATCCTTCAAATCCACTCCAAGCTCCATTATAAAGAATTAAGTGGCACTTAAATGATACATAGGCTTTGTGCAGACCTTTCTGTGAGGAACTGAATTTCATCTTAAGGATCTGAGCTGACACAACTTTGCATCTCCTCAGAGGGGCTGTGCCCCTTCACTTAAACTGAAGCTAATAGGAACCGACGGTGCTGAGCACATGGTAGAATTGCTTTCCCGGGTAATGCCATGTGAACTGGAGAACAAATGGAGTCTGTCCAAGGGTGTTTTTTTTTTTCATACAAACAGTTCTGAGGCGTTGCAGGCAGGTAGAGGTTATACCAAAGCTTCCTGCCAAAGTGTTCTTAACCATTTTGCAAGACAGAACAATTTGCAATGAATTTCCAGTTATTAGTAAAAATAAAAGTCTCTATTCATGATCAGTATAGTCCACTTTAAGACTGTTCAACTGAGTACTGTTTCAGAACACCACAGATTATTTTCTGCTAAATACTGCAACTAGATACATTTTGTCGCTGAGCTTCTCACCTGGTTTAACACTATATATCCACTTTCCTATAGCAAATCAGCTTTATTTTCTGGACTTTCTTTTCACATGCTTACTCTTCATTCAGGCAGTTACCAATTGCTGCATCTCTAGTCAGTCTCATAACTGAAAATCATGAACTTTTTGTGATAGCAAAAAAGTGAGATAAATCCTGTTCAGCAGCAGTAAATGCAAAAGCTTAAAGCCATCTAAAATATGTTAGATTAAAACACTCAGATTGTTAGTTTGTTTTCTGTTTTTTTTTTAATGTTGGAGAATTAAGTTAAAAGTAAAAATATATGTATTTTTTCATTGAATAAGAATATTGATTAAAACAGCATTTGGATACTGAGACTTCCGATTTCAGAATACATCATGCTCCTATGTATAAAAGTTGGTGTGTGAAATGAATATTTACAAATCATAATGATAACCATGGTATAAGTACCTAAATTAACTAAAAAAAAAAGATGGCTAAGTTGATGTTTCTTAGTCAATTCCAGATGCCTGAAGTAGTAAATGGAAGATTCTTCGTAGTGGGAAGTAGGGGAAATTTCTCCTAAGCCCAAGCAGAATATACAATTTTGAAACAGGCTTCTTAAATGACAGCTTAGCTCACCTATACTTCTTACAGAATGATGTTTTCCTTCATGCTATTTTTTTCAATGACAACTTGTAGTACTTAATGCAAGATATAAAGTATGCATTGGAGAAAATATTTCCTTTTTGATTTTCTTACATTATTTTACTGTTGTTTTCCTTGAACTTTGAAGCAAGCTGATCAGCATAGCCAATTCCCAAAGTTCAGAAATGCCTTTGCATTCATCAGTTTACACGTGGCTAGACAAACACATTTATCCTAGTGTTCCTCTCTTGCCTTATTAACTCTGAACAGGACCCACATCTTTTATTATTAATCACCTCCAACTGATCCCAACTGGTTCCAGCTTCCCACTCCTCTCCCAACCTCTCTGTTCTTTTTACCTCATATTTTTCCTTTTTCCATTTTTCTT